ACCAGGGCGGAGCAGAGGGGCAGGAGGGAATAAGGACAGACAGACCCTGAGATCAAGAGACAACGTGAGCAGTGCTGGCAGAAGTGAAGCTGAACTCGAGCCTGTGTTGCAGGCATTGCCATAGGCACAGAATGGTAACAGCCCTCTCCAGCTGCCAGGTTCCAAGAAGGATAAAAACGTCTTGGGCATTCATTCATGCAATATTCAGTTCCACCACTTTCTATAAAGTTAACCAATGTGTTAGTTTTTGCTTGTTTTAAGGACCTATATGACCTTCACAACAAACAAGTGGAGGATACCCCCTGAAAGGAAATAGCTGTGTTAGTTCAAGCAGTGCTTTTGGAGTCATGCTGTTACCTAATGTCAAAAAATTGAATTCTTTTTGTCATTTGTAGGTGTTATTCAGCAACAACTAAGATGCTAGTGCTCAAATCAAAGCCAAAAACACATTTATTTTTTCTTTTCAATTGCAGCTCCAGCTAGAAAAACAGAAGGGAGAAATTCTTGGGGTAGTGATTGTGGAGTCTGGATGGGGATCCATTCTACCCACCGTTATCCTGGCTAATATGATGAACGGAGGCCCTGCAGCCCGTTCAGGAAAACTAAGCATTGGAGACCAAATTATGTCCATTAATGGGACCAGTTTAGTTGGTCTACCTCTTGCAACATGTCAAGGAATCATAAAGGTACCCACACTTACAACTATATGCTGTAGATTGTAAGCCAGTAGAGACGTAATGTTTTGATGAGCGACCCTGGAGGTTTCTAGCAGATAGGATCTTCATATTCCTGCAAAATAAATGACTGAAAACCCTGCCATTAACAAGAGGTAGAATTAGAAACAGAGACTTGGGGGTGATACAGAAATTTAGGGCTGGAGAATTGGACTGCACCTTTGTTACCGGACTATAACAAGCGAGGCCAGGTCTGAAAAACTTGCCTATAATAAGTTACTTCGCAATCTTCAGAGTTTCAGGCTTCCCCACAGCCTTCAAATTAAAATCTCAGGATTGAAATACGCTTCTTTGGGCTCCACATAGGTTAAATGGATGGAGGCTGGTAGATCGAGGGAGTACATGAAGATTCCCCAGACAAGATGGAATCTCAGAATGCAGTATCTTTAGTCACTGAGACTAAACCTAATATCTGGGTGGATCTGCCAAGACCAGCAGCAGCAGGAGATTAATTAGCCAGATGCTGGTAAAGGGCAAGAAGTAGTGAGGTTTGTTTTCTCTTGAAGACTTTCTTGATGTTTCTACAGTAGTTAAAGTAGTTCTACAGTAGTTGAAGGCAAAGTTTGTTATGTTTTGCTGGGCCCGATAGCTTGGGAAATAAATGAAACACAGCAACATGCCTTTAAGTTCACAACAGATGTTATTGGCTATTACCTCTCAGATCAGCTGCTTTACACTCTTGCAGTTTAGGAAACCACTACGGAAAGAGCGAATGGAGATCCACTGCAGAAACATTAACTTTTGGAATATCTTACAGGGTCTCAAGAATCAGACACAAGTCAAACTGAACATTGTCAGCTGTCCTCCTGTTACCACCGTCCTCATCAAACGGCCAGATTTAAAATACCAGCTGGGCTTCAGCGTACAGAATGGAATTGTAAGTTTGTGTCCATTGACTGTCTGGGGTTCGTTTTTTTTCTTTCTTTCTGTTTTTTCTTTCAAGAAACACACTCAAATACTGAAAAAATCCGTGCACGCGATCACACAGTGATCCCATAATTAATCAAAACCTTGTAATTACGTATTTGAGCAACGCAAATGGACATCACCAGGAGCACAAGTACTCCCAGTTCCTGAGGGATTTTCCTACATAGTACAATCACAAGATTTATAATCCAGATTTTTGGGTGCAATGTCGGGATGAGCTAATTCATGTATAACTCTGTCATTACTGTGCAAGAGTTGCAAGGAAAACTGTTATGCTGAAACAGGGTTTTACAATTTTAACATTCTAATCATAGTTCTGATCCTGGTTCTCCACTTTTCAGCATGGACTCGTTAAGACTTTTTTTTTTTCCGCTGGCCATAATTTATTTGGATCGCATGGTAGTGGGCAGGGGAGTGTAACTGTGACCTCCTGTGGTTATAATGAAACACCTCTTCCTACAAGTAATTGTGTAAGTTTGTGGCCCAGGTATCCCTCCTGTGCATGCTGCAGTTTCCCTGTGGTAACAGCAGCAAACAGAAGGAATGTGCCAGGTAACACTTACCCGGTGCAGCTCAGAGCCTTCCTCTCATAGTTCTTCCTTCCCAAGCCATTCTCCAACACCTTCCACGGCAAACTCCCAACACAACTAGCTCACGTAGTCACCTGGCCTTTCTGGGGGCTGATAGTAGCATTAGGGACTGTCTGTAGTGCAGGACCATCTCCTCTTCCTCCAGTCTAGGAAAAAAGATAAAAATCAGGCTGCTCACACAGAAAACCACATCACAAAGGACTGTGGGCTCTGGTCCCCTGTTCTGTGAAACTCATCACTTGAAGTTGCCAGATCTCTGTTTGCCACCCTGGGAAGAGTAGCAGGTAACTCTATAGGCTATGGTTTATGGGTCTGACTGGGTCAATTTAGCAAACTGGTGACTCATGAGCGGATTTCAGCCGTGCTAGCCATCTCCAAGTTACCAGTTCTAAGTGTTCCTGCCAAAGATCCCACATCAGCTGTGGTCACAGCAGAGACAAAGAACAGCTTTGGTCCAGATGGAAGCCCTCTCAATGGGTACCTACCCCAGGCTGACATCTTGTAGAAGCAGAGGTTTAAAGTTTGGGATTGATGCTCTGACACTGGAGTAGAGAGAGCAGTCTGTAAGAAAGTACAAAGAAAATCAGGTGCATGGCATATTTCTGACCTCTCCATGTGCTTAATCCCCTTCGTCCCACGTGGATGCGTATGCTCGGTGGGTATGGTTCTTGCTGGTAGGTCACTTTGTGTTAGCAAATCCCAAGCGGTGGTATAAAAAGGGTGGAAGGGATGGCATCTGATCTTACAAGATCTCACAGACGGCACCAAAACCGGCATATAACATCGAGGCATTAATTCATTTCCTAATTCCTAACCTGTGTAAATCTAGTACGTTCAGATGGAGCTATGATCAAAAGAGGAGAACATATTTAAGGAACAATGAGCAATACTATGGTGTGTGTTTATCGACTAATTCTTCTAGGAGACCTGTCACAGCAGTGGCGGGGCTTGAGTCAGGGCTGGGGAAGAGAATCAGGCCAAGCAGCATATCACGTCCTCACACAGACAAAGGCAGTTTCGGAGTCTGTGAGACAAGCTACTCATCTTGTCCCAGCTAATCATCTCCTACATATCCGTGCCTTAAAGTTCTGCAGACAGGGTTGTTTTCTTCCATAGCGTGCTCACTCCATCTGCTGGTCATTTGTCCTGTTCACTGCACCGGCTGGGCATCATTCATTCCACGTAAATGAGCAACATCAAGAGGATCAGTGTAAGTTCCAATATAAGGGCCACCAAATTCAGCATAGAAGTCCTTCTGAGATAACAAAAAAAGCAAGCTTTGTTACACACAGAGTCCGTGTTTTACTGTGAAAGCCGATGAACGAAAAGGAGAGGTCAGTATCATTTGTTGGGCTGCTACAGGGACGAGTTTCTGGGCCACTAAGTCCTTCCTCAGGTAAACCCTCTCTTACTTCACTTAAGATTTGAAAACATGGCTCTGCAAAGTACATCTCTCTGGTAGTTTGAAGCCAATTAAAAATTGGTTTTGTAACTGCCACCAATTGTAGCAAATTATGGGAGGGTTCAGAACCAATATTCTTCGTTGGCTCAGCATTAGCGCAGCGAAGAAATAAAGAGCTTTCCAGAAGGGCTGTAATGAAACGTCTCCTACGGCTGTGCCAGCACCGCATGAGGTGTGCAGCTGGCACGTCTGCGCCTCTTCTGCCAGCGGTTCCTTTTCGCCCTGCTTCTCCCATCTGTGCAGGGTGCTCAGCGAGCAGCCTGCAAACAACCTGCGCACACAAAAGGGGTGCCTGAGCTGGGCGTTACTCGTCGGGCGTCGGGAAGATGCTGCAGGTGACTCTTTTCTTCCCAGATTCTGTGTAGTTTAATTAACGCAGAGCCTCAGGTTGTGCTTTGTGGAGCGCTACGAGTGCCAGGTTTTGGAGGTTTTAGTTAGGGAACGGCACGACAGCATTTAACAAAGCATTAATTTTGCAAAATTTCTCTTGCACTAACGCTGCAACTATTCTTCAAGGCTCTTGAAAGTTTGATTGCATCTTTCAAAAGTCTAAAATTTTAACTGTAAAACCTGAAGAAGAAGAAAAATGAAACAAGTATGAATGTTGTGTGCTGGAGAGATGAACGTACGGTCACCTGTCAACCACATCTTGAAAATTATTATGCTACACTTTTAAAATTATGGTATTTAAATAGTTATCCTTTCCTAAATTATGAAGCATCTGTGGATTGCCGGTTTTATTTTTACTGCTGATAATGCACCACTTCTTAGTCTAGGTCTCAGCCACTTTCTCATGAGAAGTGTACCTACCCCAGAGCTATTCTACCTAAAAATACAGTCAAACTTAACAGAAGGGACAGTTTATTCTTTCTGCCTTACCTTTATTTATATATTATGTATATGTATATCTTACATACAGGCAAGCTAGGTAAAACTTTAACAGAATGGACAGTTTATTCTTTCTACCTTACCTTTATTTATGTATATTCTATATATGTATATCTTAGTCTATTTAAACCCTGTATATTTCCCCCCAGACAGTTTAAATTTTATTTTAAACTTGGTTTAAAGAGTAAGATGAGGAGAAGGCTGGTTTAATAGGTTATATTGAAGGCATTTACACAAAATCAACAGTCAGCTTGCCTTACGCTCTTCTGTGCTTCATGCTTTGCCACACAACAGGCAGTTGTAACAAAACTGATTGTGGCAGTTGCAATAAAATTGATTGTGAAGCTACTGAAGTTTCACATCTGATGGACTGCAGAATCTGTTATGCTGTACTCCCATTTTTGGGTGGTTTTTCCCTTCTCTTTTTTTTTTTTTTTTCAGTTTACACAACAAGTAGAACATAGGGTCTTGTTTCCAAGAAGAACCAGATAAGTCATACTTTATTTAGTAATATTACAGGTGTCACCATGCTGAAGAAATAGAGCAGGTTAAACGATCCTGGCTGGCTGGACTCATACCCACGTGGTGGTACTGCTCAGCTTACTTTTGCCAGCCTCATCTGCCACCGTTCCACTGAAGAGGAGGAAAGTCTTAAGGCTGCTTTGAGTCAGCCACCTGCAAATCCAGGAGGCACGTAACTCTGTGCTTTAGAGCACAGGGTATTCCTTTACACCTGTGCCTGGTCTCTGGCTTAAAAGGCACTGTTAAGCCCACTTGGGCTCTGTCTGTCCTCTTTCGAGCTCATTAAAACAGCTAACGCTCACAAAAAGGACGCTGACTCCCTTCCCTGGAGAGGGATCGAGTTCTTGAATGAAGATACAAGATGCTTCCTAGGTCTGAGGTTGTTAGAAAGCAGAAATTCTCTGATGGTATCGAAGTGCTTTCAGAGCCACACAATGAAAAGTGCTCTGGAGAGATATGCAAAGCCATTAGGTTTCCCTTTATTCCAGGGGGGTGAGAGGTCACATTCCCTTTTGCTCTGAAAGCTTTTATTTCAGTTGCCTGTGCCGTCTCTGTATTTTCTTTTATACTGGGCTACATACATATTCACAGGGTTTCCTTTGGCACATTCTGCTTTTTGTCCTTGCAGATTACTGCATGCAATCCCCAACAGCAAGGAGCAAATTCTAACCGTGAGTTGGGCTCAGAAGCTTTCTGTAAAAGAGAAGATCTATGTAGTACAGCTTAGCTATATGGTGAGAAGGCAAACTGCCTGCAAAACAACGTATTGCACGACTGATATTCAAGACACGATTCTGTGAAGGGTCCTGATGGAACCTCTCTCCACAGAGGTCCATCAGAAATAGGTTTTGAACCACAGGAGGTAAACCTCAGCCACAAATGACAGCATGGTGGAAGACAAGTCTGAGAAAGTTTTTTTCCCAGAATGTCTTTTGTAAACAAAGAATGACTACAGACTTTTGCTCCCCATATCAGGCAGCCTGAACTTTGAGTAAAAAGGGAATTCATTTTTATAGCATTGCTCTTCACAAAAAGGAATTTAAAGGAAACTGCTGGTGCCATGAAGAAAAGATCCCGGTCAATGACTGCTTCACCTTCAGCATAGTGCATCCTGCCCATCTGCCCACAGAGTGTTTCCGGATTGGATTACAAACTCTCTGGGACACAAGCCACATCTTATCATACCTGTATTTAGCTCTGAGCAAGTTAGCAGATCACAGCAAATAATAATAGTTCGTGGCATGTGATTCTAACCATTGACAGTAACGTTACAGGATGCTCTAACACCCAGTTCTCTTCCTCCAAGAAGAGGTTTCTCTCAGTCAACAGAAGGTCAGTCTCAGCACCGCTAAGCTCCGCTCGGTTCCACAGATTCAAGCCATCCGTTATCTGCCTTCAGTGCTGCATGAGCTTAGTCTTCTGAGATAATTTACCAACAATTCCTACCTAACATAGAGCTGTCTTGTCTGCCAGGGAGGGGGAAGCCCCCTTGCAGGGCTGTCCCTGCTGCCGAGGAAGAATCTTTCCAATTTGCCGTGCCGGATTGAGGTTTTCCTTTCTGCCTGTAAACCAGGCGAGTTGCAACCTCAGAATTATTTTATGTAGCAGGCTCTGCTGGGACTGTGCCTGGTGATTGTAACTCCTCTTGTGGAATTATTCCCCTATTGTAGAGGGCACAAAACTTGTGCCTTTTTCTGTACTGGTGCCTGCAGCTGCCGGTTGAAAGAGTGGCCTGACTTGCCTTCTTCATCCTAAGCTCCCTACGGCCAGCAGCGCTGTAAAACATGGAGAAAAGCAAACCACCTGTAAAAGAACCATAATCAGCCCATTTCATCGAATCGTAGAATGGTTTGGGTGGAAGAGATCTTCAAAAATAACACAGTTCCAACTCCCCTGCAGCGACATCTCCCGCTGGATCGCGTTGCTCAAAGGGGTCTCCACAACCTCCCTGGGTAACCTGGTTGCAGTGCCTCACCGCCCTCATGATCAAACATTTCTTCCTTGTGTCTTCGAGACAGATCTTTCCTTGTATCTTCCTTCTGCCTTTGTGAGCCTTTTAACCGACGCCAGCTTTCACTACAGAATGCCTGCGTGGCATCATCCGTGCCTTCAGCCTAAGCCAGTGTTTGTGTAGCGTTAAGGATTAAGTTTTATGTCAGTTTATTTCCAAGTATGAGAGAAAAAATTCCTGTTGTCGATTACTTTATGCATTTGCCATTAATCAGACAGAATAACAGGCTAGTTTGCAGAAACAGTCCAGGTGGCCCAGCCATTAGAAAAATCACTTCTATCCCAACAGTATACGAAACTTCTCTGTTTCTCCTAACTCCCCTTTTCCATGGCTGCTACCTATACCACCGTGTTAGGTATTTATATGTTCCCAGCCCAGAAGAATAAAAATAAAACCTGGAATTTGCAGCCATTTTGAAAAAACAAAACAACAGAAGAACCACCCAAACCACAAATAAACCAACATTTAAAACTTCACACTATTGCTTAATACATCCCACAAGTGTCTTCTGGGATCCTTACGGTGTCGCCACTCCTTGTTGTCTATTAAATCCTAGTAACTGGTATGTTACGACACTTCTGAAGTTTAATAAACTTTGCTTTCTCTTGGCAGATTTGCAGCTTGATGCGAGGTGGAATAGCTGAGAGGGGAGGGGTAAGAGTAGGACATCGTATTATTGAGATCAATGGACAAAGTGTTGTTGCCACGGCTCATGAGAAGATAGTACAAGCCTTGTCTAATTCAGTGGGAGAGGTAAGAAAACAAATACTTTATCAAGGAATTAAGACGGCTGAAAGAATGTTGGTTCCATTGAAAGGAGAGTCTTAACATAGTATTAAAACCACCACCCTCAGTAAAGTTGACTTAAGCATTAGTAAAAACAATTAACGACATTTTTTTGAATAGTTAGATGCACATTCATTGCATTTTCCCACTTATTTTCGTGAGTTCCTGGCATGATTCTGAACCTTCAACCTACTACTGTTTGAATTAAACCAATCAATTAAGTGAAGAAATCACTCAAGCCTCTTAGCTATGAAATGCCTCTTGGCTTATTCAGTACAACATCTGCCATAGAAATAAATCTGTATCAAAGGGCTAAAAGATTCAAACTGGTGCCATATATCAATAATTCCATTTCCTCTGAACATTTCCAGCTTACCTTGGGAATAAAGTAGGACATCTCTCTCCAGCACTTTTAGAGAAAACAGCAACAAATGAACAAGATCATAAAATTTATCATAATCCCCGCTGAATTTAGTGGTTGTATCATCCACAACCCTGGCCAGATCTTCCACTAGCTTTTGCCAAAAAATGCAATATAACACATTTTCCTGTGGAAAATGATACTTGAAAAATAATACAGGGTCTGTGCTTGTTGGCAGGAGCAGAGCAGTAGATTTCAGCAGAACCTCCGTGCCTTTATGGTACCTCTTTGCTGCGTCACATCTCACTCAGCACAGGAGGACAGTACAAAACTTTGGGTTTTTCAGCGTGAAGAGACCAAGATAAGAGGTCAGGGTGTGGCTGGTGAGGGTCTGTACTACCCGTTAGTAAAGTTCACCCACATTCCTCCTGCGTTGCCTGATACTTCCAGCTGTTACTACAGTTCTGATACAACTCTGATTAACTGATGCCTTTAATTCCGTTTGTCTGGAAAGTCCCTCTGACACGTATCACAGTTCTCATTGTAGAAAGAAGTTAGGTCCGAGGTTTGTGTTCAGAGGATCGTACTCCAAGTAGGAGAAAATACACAAATCGTGCCGGGAGGAAACCTAGAAGAAAAATCTAAGTTCCGTTAGTACCAGAACAGCAGAATGAATTTTCAGAGAGGTTTGTGCTGCTTGGTTTTTAACGACAGGAAGAGTTGAGGTGTCTTTTTCAGCTATATGGTGTTGCAACCTGTTGTTGTGATTTAGAAAAACCCAAACGCAGAAAAAAGGTAAAGAGAGCAAACCAGCTCGTCAGAATCAGAGAACTTTCAGTGACAAACTCATCACACCGACACCGATGGAAACCGGGACCGTAAATGTACTCACACCCCAGGGAGAGACAGGTCGGGCCCTTACGGATTATTTCAGGCTGGCAACAATTCTCTTGTAATTTCTGTGTCAATCACTTGACAGATTCACATGAAGACTATGCCAGCCGCCATGTTCCGGCTTCTAACCGGGCAGGAGACCCCGCTGTACATCTAGCACGCGACTCTCGCAGCAAAACAACTCAACGATCCCACCCGAGCTGAAGCGAATTTTGTATTTTGTATGAAGGAAAGGCTTGGAAGCTGACCTGCGGACTCCGGGACAAGGAACAGACAGGTGTCTCGGCCTTTTCTCTCCTTCCTTTTTATTTCTTTGCCAAAAAGCAATGAGAAGGATGGTCAAGACCAATAATCACTGAACAAAACTCTTTGTAAAACATTTCAGTATTTTGCAACATCTTCTAAACTCTTTTCTCATAAACCGTAAACTATATTTATTTGTAACCTTTCCGTGGAGTGACGTACGTCTGTCTGTCTTGTTTGATAACATGGTGAATGTGAATATTTGATGAATGAGACTGCAGGAAATGGCAAAGAGAAGCAATTAGAGAAAGTAAAAAAAAATAAAATAAATCCCAGTCCCATAAAGTAGTCTAATACCGATGGCTTTGCATCGTTTTGAAACTGGTGCCAAGGAGGTGGTATTTCAGTGGAAAGGAATGTGTGCAGTTAAAACTTTTAGATTCTAATGTACAGAAAACCACTGTAGTACTTGGTATCGTTCTGACAAGTGTAACCTGTTTGGCAAGGTGTGAACATAAAACATGTAACAAGTGTTTCATATGCTAAATAAAGAATAATTGCCACAAGATTAAAATCAATATATTTATTTAGATACATATTTATTTTTAATGCTTGTGATTTTTATGATTTAACAGAGTTACGTCATGGATAACTTATTGCACATGTTGTGTAACGTACCTGTTGGGCTGGGGTTTTTTTTCTCCCTTTAATTTTTGCACATTACCTTTTTGTTTCTATTCGCTCCAAATGGGAAAGCCATGCTTACCTGTTTCTGTCTTTTATAAAGCATTCTTCTTCCTAAGGCAATGTGTTCTGATTGTAAATTGTTTTGACAAATAACCTAGCACCATCAGCAGTATTAGAATGTGTGTAGATGAAAAAAACTTAGTAGTAAAGTTGTACTCCTTATGAGATAAATGTTAATTGGTGTAACTTTTCATCTGGATTTTTTCTGTTGGGCCAAGGCCTTGAAGAAAATACACTGTGACTTAAGAAGCCTTACCATGCAGTTACTAAAGAGCTTGAGACGACTGTACTTCAAGGAGTAGTGTGTTGCATGCAACTGACCTTAGGAAAGAATTAACCAAACAATCACTAATAAATCTGAAAAAATAAAGGAAGCTTGCTTAGTTTGTTTGTTGTGTAAGTTTACATTAAAAAAAAACCCAAACAAGTAGAAGATAATTTAATTCTTAATCTAAGTGCAGTTGCAAAGGTCACAGGTTATTTTTTTTTAAAAAGGAATTCATCTCTTGAATTAGGAATTTGTGTATCATTACGGAGAGCAGATGCTTTCGATCAGCATACCTTGTTGCCACTGGATGTCACTGTAACTTCCATCGATACGATAATTAAATACATTAAAATGGATGATTCTGTAAAACTTAAAGTACCCCTCTTCAGCTACATTCCTTTGTGACCTTTTCACAGGGCGTCTGCCCAGCTCAGAGTGACACAAATGAAACCAGTGTCTGAGTAAACCTCAAATGGAAACTAACGCTACTGACAAAAAAATATTAAACCCCCAAAACGTCAACTTGTGGGAGGTTCCTGCGGAGAACCTTTGGTTCAAGGCCCTTCCCATTCCCTCCGAGAGAGCCAGGACGAAGCTTGCACTGGAGGGCGTTGCGGGCAGCCCCGTGTTTATGCTGGTAATCAAATGAGCGTCAATGATATTTGCTTTCTGATTTTTTTTTTTTTCGATCAATGCCAGGTAAATCATAAATGCAGCAGAACCACAAGGACACGTTTTAGTAATCCTATTGTCCGGACTCCGAATTGGGGTAACAGTTCCTTTGGAAAAAAGGCTCAAGGCTTTGCTAGATAAAAACTCCTATCGGTTGGCACTTGTAAAAAGTTTGCGAACGATGCTTTTTTGGAAACGCAGGATTTCAAACGCTTTTTCCCTTTTGGTCATGATTTGCAGAGTACGTAACTGGCAGTTTTCAATAGCATACGCTCTCCCTATGAATATCCATTCATGAACTCAGGAGCACCCAGAACAAAGCCAAAATAAACCCCGCTGCAGCCGTTCCTGTCATTTAAAAGGGCAGCGATTGGGGGGCACACCCGAGGCAGGGGAAGCAGTTTTAATAGGACAGAGCAGTCAGCCTGGCATGAGAGCCCTGGAAACACGGATTGGAAGCAGCGCCGCGTGGGTGTACGAATCGCCTGGTACATTTCTATCCAAATCAGTTGTTGCAAAAGCAAAGTCCAGAAATACTTTTTATTAAAACACTGATCATAGATAAAACACTTTGAGGTACATTAAATAAATACAACTTTGCAGTTGTACAGCCGGCCTCGGGCGGTTTTGCAGTGGTTTTCAAGAAATGCTGGGCAGCATCAGCAGCATTTCTGTAAGTACATGGAAACAAACGCATTTCTGGTTGGGAAAACAGTTGTTCTGACTCTACTAATAAATCAGTTAAAATATTGCAGAAAAAATCAGGGCTGAAATTTACATTCAGAAAAACGGATGTTGTCCTCCTGCTGTTGGAATTCCAAAGGAAGAGACTTTTTAAAGTGATCCACTACTCATATTTCTCGTGGTCCCAGTCTCTTCCTTAATACTCTTTGCTGGAATCACGTACCTGCAGAGGATATTATCAAAGGACGGTCTCCCGGTAAACTCCAATTAAGCTGTGGGGCCTGTCCCGCTCTAAACTGCGACTGATGTGGGACCTACGGACGAAGGCAACTGGAGAGCTCAGAGCACCGCAGCTCTGGAGATGAAGATCTTCTTGAAGTCGCTTCCTAGAGGTATTCACATTCTGCTGGGAACTTGTAATGACCTGTGGAGAAGGGCAGGAGTGGAGAGGGGAAAAAAAAAACAAAACGGGGAGCACGGGGTGAGAAGTGTTTTCATTTAAAAGGTTCAGTCCCCGAACAGCGTTTCACTGGAGCTGTCTAAGGGTGGAGGAGGCATGTGTTCGTGCGGCCACCCAGAGACCTCCGCTTCTCAGGAGCAGCTGCTGGAAGCACCAGTACCTGTCCTGGTCAAGCAAGGAAGGCACAAAAAGCTCTTCGTTTCTGGCTGTTTGAATGAAAAGAGAGGCTGTGGAAAAGGTGGCAGCTCTGCCTCGTGATGGACAAACACAAATTTGGAGCAAATTCATCTGTTTCTCTTAGGAGAAAGAGACACCTCACTAACTTTGTTGAGGAAGGAAGAGAACTAAAAGTCTGCAAGCCCAGCACACAAATGTTTTGGCTTTAAGCCACTTCACAAATCTGAATTATACAACTATTTTACCAAGTGTCCTGGGACTTCTTAGATAAATTGCTGGGATGCCCTGCAGTTTTACTAGTTAATAACGGGTTTTGTTTGGGGGGTAAAAAAACAACCTCTACTAAAATTATTTCCTTATTGTGGGGAAAAAAAAAGAATGTCTCCCTGCATCTAGGAAACCCACACTGGATAAAAACTGGGCCATTTGTTTCTGGTTTTATGATCTAATTAAACATTCAAATTTGTTCCATGGTTTTGTTTTGTGAGAAACTATGGGGTTTTTTTGTCATTTAAAGAAATTTGGTTTCAACTTTCTAACCTTGAGGATTTAATGACCTACACATTTTGTCAAGCCGTATAAACATTAAAATTTAATTCCATAACTCCAAACATGAAAATTTGAACTCCGAACCGCCGCTCTAGTTAAAGCACGTCATGAGAGTACTGCTTGTCCAGCCGTGTGACTGCAGACGTAACTGATACGGACCTGCTTCTTTGTCCTACTTCACAGGTAGCAAACCCAACCTTGCATCAAGCTTTTGGAAACGCTCGGTATTCCCCAAACTATCTCACATGCTAAGGGCTAGTACAGCCTGTTTTCATACTCAGCCAGTTTGCCTCACTCAGAGCTCAGCAGACTGACAGCACAGAAATTACAGCGTCTCAGGTGTGGGGGGAAACAGCCCCTGGGCACGGAGGAAAGCCGACAGGCAACCTGAACGGTGTTAGTCAGTGCTACGGGCGTTCTGCTTTTCAGACCCGACAACAGGAAAGCAACTCCACTTCAGCAGCTCTCATTCTGGTCGCAATACTAGCAAGAGGTGATTCATCACCCTTCTTCCTGCCGAGAAGATGTATCACTGAACACGCGTTAGATAATAAAAGTTGCTGCCACCACTAATTCCCTTGTTTTAGAGGATTCCTTCCAAGCCTTGCATCTGGTTTATTCGCAACTCAAGGTAAGGAGATGCATGATTCCTTCATTTGGAAAAGCATCGCTCTCAGTTATTTCTTTAAAAGATAGCACCGGTCATTTATCATTCTTGTAGCTGGGAGTTAAGGTTACCGCGTCCTTCCCTTTTGATCGATGGTGGCCCCTGCTTGTGTATCTACCCTTTCTTTTCAACCTCTTTTCACGTCCTGTGCGCACGGATTTGCCAAGTGTGTACCTCAGTACAGAAACACAAATTCAAGTGTGGAACAGTCAGAAGCACAGAAAGATGTTGGAATTAAGGGTGATTATCAATGGGTCCATCAGCTCCCTCTAGAAATCCCAGTGTATTACTGGGTCCAGCTTAAGAATTTTAAATGCTTTTGTTTCAGTGTAAAATTCATTACTGCACAACAAACATAAATTATTTCTTACTAAAGCCATGCTACTATAAAATTACTTCTGTAGGAGTTGCCTGAAGTTCTTAAAACTGTAAAAACATTTAAATAAGGTATCTGTCCACCATGGTTGAACAGATCTTTAGAACACAAGTGGCCTACCTGGTCTATAATATTGGCACTGAAGATGGCTTCTTCCATGTGTCTCTCATCAGATTTTATTACTGATCGGATGCTGTTCACTACGTGCCGCACTTCTGGAGGGAGATTACAGTTTGAATGTTCCAAAAATTTTGCAACTAAAATTTTTGTGTCTTTATAGGCCTTAAGGTCCACTAGAGAGTGTGGCCGCTCCTTTGCGACTGTGTGCAAAGCCTTTGGCTTTAGGTGTAGCTCAATCTTCCGTGCATCCCTCTGTTTTCCGGTTGGTAGGCAACTGCTCAAAGAATGCTGACAACCAGAGGCAACCATATGAGAGCCACAAATGGGAACTAAAAAAGGGGGGAAAAATATCTTTAAAGTAATAGTTTAAAAAAAAAAAAAGTAAAGGCAAAACAAGTATTGTCACAAAAGTTTTTACTTTGATGTAAAACCTGTTTTGTCTGAAGAATAACATCAACATGTAATCTAGGAAATACTGCAAAAACCAGGTGATTTTAACAGGGGTCCAGAGGAGACTCTTGCCAGGGACCACGAAGGACTGTGTTTGTGATGAGTGGGCGGATAATTAAAGCACTTCATAAATCACTGATATTTTTGTTACCTCTACTTTCAGGGACTTCAGTTGACATTCATGATAAGGGGAGGCACTCCCTACCCTGACACATATGTAATATGGAATGGGTTTAGGCCCAGCCTCTTCTCCCCAACTTTAAAACTCAGCTTATGTCTAGGCCTTGAAAATTGTAAGCAGTGAGTAACACAAGGTGATTACGAAATACAGAAAAAGCCAAAATGCTAAAGTGGGGGGACTTAATTCACATCATGTATTTTCACTCAGCATTACATGTCATATATTTGTGCTGTTAGTGATTTTTCTGCCCCAAATTGTCTAGAGCTTGTTTCTCTGTCAGAAGCTTTTAATTATTTTTAAAACAAAAGGAAACCTGCCTGGATGCATTTCTCTGGCAAGGGGTTGGACTGGATGATCTCCAGAGGTCCCTTCCAACCCCCAACATTCTGTGATTCTACAAAACCCATCTGATCCTGCTTTAGAAAAGCAACTCTCACCTGTTTCTAATGCAGCTGGAGACAATCCTGCATCTTGACGCTGGCTGCACACCAGAGCCCAGGCACAATTATCACCTTTAACCAAAGACAGAGACACAGTCAAGCCCCGCTATCCTCTGCCCAAAGCAAGGAAAAATACATGGGAATATTTTACAGAATTAAACTATCCAGACGAAATACTCACAAAGAGAAGCTACTATACACAGAAATGTCCTAGGAGCTGTTCAATAAATACAAGTGGAAAGATACGGTTCCAGCGTGAAGGTTTCCTCTCTGATACACAGCTCTCAAATCCCAAGTGTTCCAGGCCTTAGCACGGAAGCTAGGGATGTCTCCCTGCATGGGGCAGACCTCAGACTTTCCTTGGCAGACAGAGTTTATCTCAGAATAAGTGAAAACTGAGGGATTTCGATCCCCCTTCTTTCTACAAACCCAGCACTTTGCTCAGTATTTCCAGCTCCTGGAATTCCGGAGGGGTAGGTCTGCGTTCTTGGCGGGACAAGTGCCATCCACCACCCATGGGATGGGCAGGCAGGTGGCCGCCGTGGTTACTGATGGTGGATACCAAGGGGTTACAGAACATGTACAAACAGCTCTGGACAGAGTTACCTTCTAACGACAGAGCTTCTGGGACGCCAGCATGATGAGATCACACTGCGCGGTAATTACCACTGCAGCCTTTTTGATTTCAAGCTTGTGACAGTCGAGATGGAAGAAACCCCTCACATTTACGCTCAGGCTGTTTACATCTGTTTCCAAGACTGAAAACTGTTTTGAACTTCTGGGTAGATTAGAAGAGGTTTTCTTCCATATCTTCAGGGAAAGTTTATAATGAAAAGCTGCTATAATCCTCTGGTACAGTGAATAATTAAATGAAGGAAAAGAAAATGAAGGAAACATATAAAACCTGTAAGAAATTAAGGGAGACAGCTTCTATTCTGTCTTTAATTTGCTTTATTCTGCTTAAGTATTGCAGCATGTGAATCACAGCGTGCTTATTAGGAGAGGTTCTGTCTTCCCGTCCCTTATTACACTGCTTAACCTACTTACAGCACAATCGGAACGACCCCACTAGACATCATCCTGAATTATCTGGAACACAGACACTACCATAATCACTCAGGCACTTAACTGATAGAGCCATATAGTCTGTCATATCTGATTATAAATTAAGTTTATTGCAACAGTGCTAGAAGTTGATTTTGTCTTCTTTTAGCTTGATAAACTTTATGAAGAAAAGACAGAAAAACATGCAAACTACTTGTTTGTAAGAATTTTTTTTTAAGTGGGAACTATTTCTTGCAGGGATGACACGTGAACCCACCATACCCACACTGTCCAGGAACAGTGACTATCAAGGAACCTATCAAACTAAACTTTCATCTTTAATTTCTGTAATAGCAATGGCAGATATTTCAAAACAAATAGACAAATTCACTTTCAGCAATAAAGGAGTAATGGGAGAATTATTGACTATACATACACTAAAGACCCCATCCTGTCAAGATGTGCTTGAGGCACGTGAATTGTGTTCTATTGACCTAAAAGCGCAGGTTAATGCCAGCACTAAAATTCCCAGATTACTATTTTATTAGATCTCATTGCTGTTGTGTCAAATAAATGATGTTCCAAACCATGTCCAGCACAGTCACAACGTTAAAGACCCATTTAACAAACTCTACACAGCAAATTTCAAGGTTGTGTTTCCAAATCTCTTCACGTTGACTTGCACGGGGAGGCGAATCAGGAGATAAATTATCTTTTCTTCAAGTAGAAAGACTGGTTCCTAAGACAAAACCAAACTGCACTTCACCAACCTGACCATGGAATTTTCCCATTTGTGAATATGCTTGAAGGTCCCCCACCCCTCAGTTCTCGAAAATCCACTCTTACATGAGTTACGAAAGATACCTACTTACAGCTCCATCTTTCATATGTCACTCTATTTGACCAGTTCTTCTGCTCCAGGGTGGTTTTACAATGTAAGTGCATGTTACTGAAAAAACACCCAACGCTTTCTCTTCTGGGTTGGTTAGGTGATGAAGCTCACTCAGTTTATCTTTGCCTACCATTCAACTCTGGGGATGTATTTTAGAATTGTGCAGTGAATACCAAATAGCCAAAAATTAAATTATAAAAACTGTGAAGAACTTCAGCTGTGTGTCACAGCTTAGGAAAAATAAGTTTCAGGGGTGCTACAAACCGTCGGTAGAATTGTGCCGCTTCTGACCTATGGATGATTCCCAAATGGACTTCAACAAACAGCAGAGGGAGGAGAAGTGGTGTGAAGCTGTGCAAACCTTCACAGAGTAAAATTTTGCAAACTGTAGTTTGCCAAACGTAAATGGAAGTAAAATGCACATCTGGACTCCACTGCTTCTTGTAAAGATTTTGTTTTTAATGATTCTTCTGTAGGCAGGAAAAGAATGATGCTCCTGACACCAGCTAGGAGGCCACTGGCCTTCCGGGCTACCTGGGCACCCTGCTGGCTCGTGTTCCACTGGCTGGCGCCCCCCGCTGGCCGGGGCCTCTCAAAGCCGCTCCTCCCCCAGTTGGGGGTTATTGTGGCCAAAGTGTAGGACCCGCAGCTCACGTGGGGCTGAGAACTTGGAAATTAGTCAAAAGAATTGCGATAGTGCCACTCCTCCAGAAAAGATGATGGCTGTATTTCGGACAAGCTAAAAATGAAGGCAGAGCATCTCTCCTACCAGGCATCCCAGCAGGCAGCTACCGCTGCCCACAGTGATCTCTTTCAAACACTGCTCAGAGAGCGCATGGAGGGCAACACCGAAAACTTGCAGAGCGTGATCCAAAAGAGAAAGGTCTGTTCTTGTCTCAGGCCCAGTAGGAAGGGCTCAGCAATTCCTACTTACTCTCTTCACAGCAGCTTCTCTGCACCTATATCCTAGCAGAGTAAATTTCATAAACTCAATTCAGACTTCTAGATCTCCCTGGCCAGCATGCCGAGGCTCCATTTCTAAAGGCAAAAGCCATTGAACTGTTGAGCTCAGGAGCACGCCTCTGAAATTCACAGGAACAGAATAATCATGCAAAAAGTGTAACAGAACCAACACATCATCTTCCTAAATGAAACCAGTTATTTCAGCATTTTGTCCACTTTTGTTCTGAGCTAGTCACAACTCTTTCTCTAGATGCCTTGCAAGCCCAGGGAACACACATCTGTAGCATCACCAGCTACGACATCCTGCAAAGCTTTCAATCTTCTCTTTCAAACCACTTCTCCAGGTTACACCTCTGCATTTCTCTGAACAACTTATACTCCTGTAAAACCTGCCCCTTTCAAATGGTTTAGACAGCTCCACATTCCTAAAGCCGCTCTCTGCTAAATCAAACATTTCTTTTCCACTGACAAGCAGATTTTTATGAAGCTCCACTGCTGAGCTTACAACATCTCTCTTCTTCCCTGGTTGTCTAAAAGGACGTTCAGAGAAGTTGCTTATCCACGACAAGCAGAAACTTTCCTTCTCATCTAGCCTCTTGTCCCGTGCCTCATCTTTCACACCTTCATCCTTTAAAACTTTTCACGGTACACTCCAGCTTGCCGCTAGGCAGTCGCACACGCTCTGACAGGCGCCAGCACTGTCAGCGTCACCTTCAGGAAACACAACCTGCTGTACTACAAGCACGACAGCTCAGTTAACCGCTTCCGAAACCAGACCCCAGCTCCCATTCAACGTACTCGTTGAGCTTCTCAGCACGCCAGTAGTAAGAGGTGGAAGCATCTACTGAAGAAACGTGCTTTTTCAGCAGTGCGGAAAGATCGGTACAATTCAGAGAAGCCAAAATTAAATTTCATTCTGTCGCTTTTCCCATTCCTGTTCTTCCGAAAAGTCTTCAAATCTAGAAGATGTGCCCAGAACTAAAGCCTTCACACTTAATTCAACCCTCACTGGAACAAGCTGGGTCATCTCCAGCAGCACCAGTTGCTGCACAAATCCCACCCCAGTTGTTTGCTCCATGCTCCGTCAGCCTTACGGCACTCCACCTACCTTCTGCGTGAGATGAACAGGAGACAGGGTCACTAGTTGATCGGACTATATGTGAAACGCGGTGTTTCGTAACGTGACACTGCTGGACAGCACTCTCGTGGCCACTCGTGAGCCTGAACCGGGGCGAGGTCCGGAAAGGGCCAGGGGGCTGGCTGAAGTCCGCACAGCAGATTTTCTTCTTCAAAGGCGGTGTGGCATTGCTCTCCGGAGCAGAACCCTGCAGTTCTCTTTCCGAGGGGCCGAAATTATCCGAGGAACAGTCCAAGGACCTGCCGTGGGCACAGTTCTTCTCCTGTCCTTGAGACCTATCTGCAGAGGCTCGACTGTGGGAACTGCTGTCCTCGTGAGGAAAACCCTCTGAGCGAGTTCTGTGGAACCTGCAGCGGGCGCTGCAATCCAGAGTGCTGCAGCTCTGGTCCGCAGCCCCTTTGGGCGTTGGGCAGTAGGGAGAAAGATCTTCGGAATGGAGAGATCCCTGAACTTCCAGCGAACAAAGATCTTCAGAGGAGTAGCTACGCTCTGGGATGTCAACAGCCTCAGAGACCATCAAAGAGGTGCTCTCAACGGAAACTGCAAAACAAGAGATTCAGAGAAAAATGAAGGACTTCTTACCCCTCTCCCATTTTCAATACACTGACTGAAATTTAGTAGTTGGCAAATAAAGCAGTAATTACTCAAAAGCTTCCAGTCGACAGAATGTCAAAGCAAAAAAAGACCCAAGTAATTTACTTATTTCTAGTCTCCTTCAGCAAAGATAATTCGTGCTGTCCTTGAGTATTTTCTTCAACTAATAAGCATGCTTCAGCTCTGATACCCGAGTATTACCTGTAACTACATTTGGACAGGAATGACTCTTTCGTTACTGGTAAACAACGAGCGATTGCCTGTGCCAGAAAAAGCAAAACTTGACACAAATGCTGAAAAAAAATGGGTCTCATCACTTTTAAGCCTATCACTGCTGTCAATAATTAGCTTTGTACCTAATCAATCAAAAATATTAGCTTTGTGCCTGATCAATTGCTTCCCTGAGGCATATTTTTAAGTTCTTTACAAATGAGAATTCACAGTCTTACAACATCTCTAGCAGAGAAAATGTGACACACACACACAATTCCGGTAGAAGCTACACACACTACACATGGTCACATACTCTCTGACGCCCGTTGCATTCCAAAATGAGATTATTGTCCTGTCCTGTGCCACGTCTATAAATACACGTTATGGATGGAAATGGCCTTTGTATGAAAGTAGGTATTTGAATCATAGAATCATAGAACCATAGAATGGCCTAGGCTGGAAGGGACCTTAGAGATCATCTAGTCCAACCTCCCTGTCATGGGCAGGGACGCCACCTCTTGACTAGATCAGGCAACACATGGGGACCGAGCGGGAATCGAACCCACGACCTCGGTGTTGGTCCTCGTCAGCACCGCGCTCAAACCACTGAGCTCTGCATTATGCCCAAAGCCATGACAAAAATAAATTAAACTAGATAATCCAGTCTCCAATAATATAAACAACACTATCCATATCAGAGTGGAATTCCTTAAAGTCCTACATCTAAAATAAAAATCACTTTATTCAGCTCAGCAGCCTCTAATACCTTTTTTTTGCAGAGCAGCTGTTGGTAACTATATTGATGACTTCAGCTGTTTTGTTCAGGAATAGAAAAATAGGATCTTTTAGTGAATTGGAGAACATTTGTTAAATGCTCCCGTGTTTTGGGGTCTAGGAAGCAGCTACAATATAGGGAAATTAGCTATCAAAATGAAAATCAAATATTCATGAGCTTGGATTTTATGAAGGACATTTTCTTCTTACATCAAATGAATCACACCAACTGTTTTCTATTGGGGCTTCCAGGAAATAAATTTGTAATACTTAGAAGGCAGTCGTAATATTGCCAAAAAGGGCATAATAATGCCAAAAGGGACATAATAATCAGAACAGAAGTACATCTATATATCTACATAATGCTAGAAAAACACAAAATGCCCCATTTATGTGTTAGGTGTGTAGCTGCAGTGGCTTATTGGACTATTTATATTTGTGACTTTTTTTTTACCAACCATTTTTTACCTAGTTAGATGATTCTTTGCAACATATTCCCTTAACTCAAGCTTTGAAATATCTACACAGTTTGTAGAGACGAATGAAAGCATCCAGTTTGTGCCTGTCTCCACTGTCCAAATTCTCTCAGCTTTGAATCAATTTAGTTGAAAACTAGATTGTGGTTGGTTGTACCATTTACTCCCTGGACCTGTAATGGTATTTAATGGTATTTACAGCTTCACCTTATTCCACTCTTCCACTAGTGTGGTTTTTCCAGTACTACGGAGGGGTCTGAAGCAGATGAGAAGCAATCACTGCTCGCAAGACGTGGCGTGGTGACACCGGACTGGTTTTACATGAATAAAACACGCCCGAGGACCTGCCTCGCATGTGCGCACAGCACAAAAAATGTCAAGGCCCTGGCTTGAGAGCTGAGCCACTGCTTACCAACAGCCAGACCTCCAACACCGGCCTTTCAGTTCAGACCTTCACAGGTGGATGTGAAGTCCAAATGTACTTACAAACTTTAGCAATCAGCTCTGCAGACATGACCCTCGGCTGTCAAACACTAGGGTTTAAAAACAAAAACTGATATTCAGCAGCAGCTAAAGATGACCGCTGTTGGCTCTGGGAACTGAAATCCTACTCCGTGGGTAGGAACAGAAGCTCCTCCCTAACCTGCCAGGCTGTCAGTCCCGCTCTGCTCTGGATGCGCAGCGAGAGCGCACTGCTGCTGCTTCCTGGACATTCCTCCGCCCCTACGCGTGCTGATGACACCTGCCAGCCTATTCACCAGTATGATATGAATACGATGTGGAAAAAAAAGTATAGTGGAAGTTTTACTAAAATATTTTTTTCTTACAAACTGCTCAACATCTCTTGATCCGCTGAGGCTGTAACATTGAAAAAGTAGACACGATAAAAAGGCCTATTCTAGTAACTTTTAAACTTTCAACAGCTTCCGTGCTGCTACTCCTCTACTTGCATTCTCATCCACACTTCAGGCAGCAAGCTCCCCATTCCAGCTTTGGCAACCGTGAAGGAAACTACTACGTGGAAAAGGCAAGTGGAGTATGAGGAAGGCACCTCTGTTTGCTGCCAAGAAGAAACAAACTGCCACTTAGGTGCATGATTGTTCAAAGAGAAATTACAGTCGTGGCATCTGCCTCAATGGGCTTTTCTAGAGCATGCTTTGCTGAAAAATCGCCCCTCTGCATTTCCAGCCACATTTTCATTTGCTCTGCATTTCCAGCCACATCAGTTTATGACTGTGAAAACATTCTTCTTGCCACGAGCAATCTGAAAGCAAATCCTTCTTCCTCCGTTGGGAAGGGCAGAAGAGAAGGAAAAGCGCACTCAACATCTTTCTCAAGCGGAGAGGCAGAACGCTGTGCTCACCTTGCGTGCTGAAGTCCAGGGTCACGTTCCCCTCACCCAAGCTTGATTCAGACACTTGCCGATCAGTACCAGTGAGCTAAATGAAAATTAACGAAACAGCCCGTTAATCTGCAGTTCACCAAAACAAAGTACAGTGCTGATGATCTTAACAACACACCTGGCAATGTGAAATAGCTGCCATATAAGCTGCTACTGAGGCTGAAAGCTATTTAAAGATGTAGGATTTTACAGTGTCTTTGGGTCAGGGCACAGGAACACGCTTAGAACAATTTTTCATTTCTCTACAAACTAATGATTTTATTACAAGCAATCTCTTTTTCTACAGTCTGCGTTCTTCCATGTTATGCCTTTTTCCCCCATCACGTTTTACCACCCTAAAATAGGACGGAGAACAACAGAAACCATAAAAACAAGCCCAGGAGCGGTATTTCCCTCCGGTGATTTGCTGACATGTTCTCACCTAATGTGTTTTCTGTAACATCACTGCCACCCAAGGGGGCAGACACCAGGTGTGCTCCAGCCTAGCAGCGGTTGCTGAAGGGAGGTAATACCAGCACTCACCTTTTTTCTGAAAGGATGGATCTAAGTGGGTAACTTCCCTTTTTGGGAATCACGTGAACAAACTACAGAATCAGTCCTGCTGGAAAGACTTGATCCATGAACATCTGAAATTTAGGAAATTTCCTTTCTACTGAGTTTAACAGACTTTGGATTGGATGTTGTTGCCAATCTCATTAGATTTTTCACAGTTCTTTTGATTGTGATTGATTGGAATAATTTTTTGAATAACGGCTGGTAACAATAAGTGCAAAAAAGTCAAAGGGAATGAGACCGATACCATCTTTAGCAGAAAGCATCACGTCTGCTACTGTCTGTAGGGCCACAATTAACTTGTAAAAGCTTATTACAGTGACAGAGTGACAGTCTTGAAATAACCATCAGTCACCTCTGTGAAAACCTTTTTGTCAAGAGCTTAATTTGTATCTGGCCTTCTAAATAAATTGAATGCGACACTATTACTCTAAAGCTATTAAGGAAAGAGCTTCCAGTGCATATGCCAGTAGGGATGTACGCACACAGACACAGACATAACTTATTGTGCTCACTAATTATATTTTTAATATCTATCTATCTATCGATTCATCCATCCATCCAGCCATCTATCTATCCATCCATAGCTTACTATGATCATGTGATCAGGAAACTTTTTCAGACACAAATTTAGTTTTTAAAGTGATTTTAAGTCCAAGGGTTAGCAAATAAAACTCTATTTAAAAAAAAAAAAGGATTAGTACCAGAAACACTGTAATGAGCAATAGATGGATAGAGGACTGGGAAGCAAAAGTGAAATCACTCATATTTTTATACATTTTGCTTGGAAATTTCTTAAAGGATCTCTCTCTGTTGAGGCAGAGTATCACATCTGTGGCAAAAAAAACCCCAAACATTCATGGTGTCACTCTTAAGTTGCAGACCATTCCTGGAAACTAACTGTGGAACCGCTGGGAATTAACTGGAGAAGTAAGAAGTGTTCTCAAAAGCTCTTTGTCGCTGGACAAAATCCCATCAGACTAACGACATTGTGGAATCAATAATATAAAGGTTTAAGGGTGTTTGTTTCTTTCAAAAATCTAGGGGGTTCCATTTTAAATCGAAGTAGTTGCATAAATTCTTAATCTTTGACAGCAAAATACCTGCTGAATATTTGTGCTGAACAATGTACTGACATAGTTTTACAGGTGGAAGATACACCTCGTATTTGCATACCTTCATTTCCTATTACACAAACCTTTCTAGACTACAACAGTTCAATTCTCTCCTTAGTTTGCCAAAGGGAACAGTTAAAGTATTGACAGAATTTTGGGACCTGGGAATAAGAACAACTAAGCTCTGACACAAGCCCCGGCGCGGCTGTCAGTATCTCCTGTGACATCGTGTTGGTGCAGAGCTCGCGCTGGGCGCACTGAGCACCCAAGGCGGATTCCAACGCGGGCAGGAGCCAAACCTAAGCTAAAGGCCAGGTGCAAGGCTGGGAAAATTAGCTGCCTCTTGTTTTGTTAGAAGCATGTTATAAGACCGTGAGAGCAGAGGTCTGGCTTGGGTGAGAAATATGGGATTAAGGACTGAAACAGAGAGAGACTCCCTTGTATTCTTCCTTTAGCCCTGGCCAAGTGGTGAGAGGAAATCAACAGAGCAAACAGCACCAGATGTTCCCGCGTTCGAAGTTCTGTAAGATTGTTTATTCAATAGTCTAAAAGCTGGACCCTCTTGCAGCGACGCTGGAGCCCTCCCCTACGAGTGGACGCGCCGCATAGGACTCCCCAGTTGACGGGACAGTTCTCCAGAATCCTCGCTGCAACAGCGGCTCCCCAGGTCTGGATGCTGATTTTGGGGCGCTTGGTGATGGATCTTTCTTAATACCTGTCGCTAACCCTAATGAGCCATGATGAGATGCATTACTCTGCTTGTTCTCCTTGCTGCTTAAAACTAGAGTATAATCAGCTTGTGTTGCCTTCTTCTTGTAATACTTTGAAATAGACAGTAAAACAAGCTTATCCTTCTGTTGGTGCCTGTGGCTCTCTTCTGCGGGACGCCCCCCGCCCGGGCCCATTAGCAAAACACTCACCTAGGGTAAAGAGTCACATCTTACTCAGGAAAACCACAGGGAGGAGCTGTTCTTGGCACTCTCCATGCAATGAGATTTGCATCTTTCACATCCCTTGGAATTTAGACGGACACAGAAGTTCAGCCACCACCCATCGCATCCCTTCTCAGGCTCTGCCTCAACCTCAGAGGCTCCTACTGATGGTGAAACCCCTGCAGGAACCTACCTGAAGACATGGGACTGCACAAACAAGACAACATTCTTGACTCGTTACTCTGTGAATCAGACACGCACGGCCTCTCAGTGTAACTTAGGGATGCTTGCTTATATACTGCAGACTATATTCTAGTTTAATTACAGCTGCTAGAAACTAGCAAACCAGCAAACCTCACAACCAAAGGCCGAGAATATGACAAACAGATGGGAGAAATGCACCCAAGCAGAAACTGTTCCTTGGGACCAAATGGAAGACTGCGAATACTCCACTCTCTCTCTATATCTCCCACATATCGATAAGCACTCATCATCTTTAGAGTTTATCTCTTTAGGGCCTCACTGAGAACTAGCATCCCTACTAGCAGGAAAATGAGATTTCAAAATTTTGGGCATGCAGGAGAAATCAGGGATATAATTTGAATTTTAGTTTCTTCTGGTTTTTTTTTCAGTATTAAGCCATTTAAACTTAATCTGAACAATGCCTTAATTTTTCCTTCCCTCCTTCTTTTTCCATTCACAAGAATAATTGCTGAATTTATTTTTACATGCATTTGGAACTGATTAACCTTCTTGCTTGGGGGAAGGAGAACCACGGTTCTAATTGTAGGAGCTAGCACTGATGATTTTTTGTCAGGTCAGAGCTTTGGTTCCCACACGGATGGTGCATGGTTTATACAGGTTCTTGCACAGCCCAGGGCAACAAAAACTTACTGATGTGCATGTCCTCAGACATAAATCTGATAAAGACAGTCACTAAACTAGCAATGGGAAAAGGAAAGAAAAAACATGCTTTTAGCAAGCTTGTACAGCAACCTTATAAAACAGTCACTGGTATAATTCACCCAGAACCCTCAACTTTTTCCTTTTCCTTTTCCTTTTCCTTTTCCCTTTTCCTTTTCCTTTTCTTTCCTTTCTCCTTCCCTTCCCTTCCCTTCCCCCTTTCCCTCTCTCCTTCTTTCCTC